CACATACCATAAGCGTGCTGAGGTTAGGCATATGATTTTAAAGGCTAAACGCTTCTCACTTTTTTTCTGGTTACTTAAAACTGAATATATTATATGATAAGATCCGTGCTTATAAATATATTTTGCGTGATTCGTGACCGGTAGGTACATAGGGCAACAGTGGATAAAATTGGGTTTCGTGAGGATATTATTCAAGATTGCCATAGGTAATGAGAACGATTCGCGCTCATCTCCTACCGAAACAATCTCGAATCATAGGTAATTAATATGAGAGAGCCTTAGACATAACGTACCCTATACTTTTTAAAGATATTCATGGAGAGTTGAAAGTTTCCATGCGCATATATAGAAGATCAGTCTTAGACTCCTATTAAATATTGAAATTTTAAATCTCGATGACGTTTCCGATCTTAAGAATCGTTTGATTAAGGAACTACACCAGCTCACCACACAATCACACAAAGCGAAATTTTAAAGTATTTGACTTCCCTCACACACGATGAAACCGAATATTTCAAGCCAGCGGTTTATAGCCTTTGAATTGAGGAATGCTAAGATACCAAACCTACTTTGAAATATTTAACAATATATTCGCAGTTATGTCATGTTTATCTTTTATTTTGATGGTACTCGAAATCTAAGAAGTTTCTCCAGGCATAATTCGAATTTCATTATCAAGCTACATGTTTTAATTATTTATATTTAATGATGAATTTTACACCAAACAAAGATCACTTTTTGTCCTTTTATTATTTTCAGAGAAATCATTATTATAACAGCGCCAAACGAAAACAGCTCGCAATTTTGATATTGTGTTTTTCGTGAAACCATGGTGAGATAAATAAAAAACAAAACCAATATTTTTTGCAAATTTTTCCCAGCTCCTTGTGATTCAAATGAGAGATATTTATCGCGAAGAGTATTAAATAAGATATTTTATGAACCATGCAAACTTTATTTGCGTGCTTTAATCCTACTTCATGTAATCATCGTTGACTTTTAATCGGTTTTCTTATTAGACCGATCTTGCTTTAGATAAATGGAACGAGGCACAGGGAACTCTCATAATTATTAAGTATTATTCTCCGAATCAGGGCCAGTCAGGGGTAAATTTCAATACCGGAAAATATGCCATTTCTCGTCGTTGACTTATCTCCAATGTTTACATCCTATGTGTCGGAGAGATTATAAGAGGCGTTTCCAAGCTACTCATTTTCTTTTGGTGAAACATTTACTTGAGTGCGAATTTAACAAGATTTGTGATTTGACGAACTGCTAACAAAGTGTCTTTGACGTTGCTGCTACAGATAATAACACCAAAAAAACTATAAACGAAATGAGGAAAGGTAAGTCTTAATTTGACATTTGCTGTGATAAACACATGCTCTTCTTCATTGTTCGTTTCTTTCTTGGAAACGGGAAGCAAATTTCTTATCGCCAATTTTATGTCCAATTTTGCCTGTCTTGATTTCATGTTCTTTGAAGAGTTTACCCTTATAAAAGTTAAATGAAAACCCGTGAATATTACAAATCAAAATAATCTGGGAATTAAACTCGCCTTAAAGCCACAATAAAAGGTAATAATGTAAAGCAGTATAAATACATTACTTAAGTCTAAAATCTCCTTTAATAATGTGTAATCCTCTTTTTTACGTTCTCCTACGATTAATTAATTCGTTTAGAGTGATCACCATAAATCAA